TGATGAAAAATTTACATTTTATTACAATAAAGATCTTTTTTACTAATATTTATATTGTTAATTTTTTTAATGACTAGAGAATTATATTAAACAACTCACAAACAACAATGCTATACATCAATTGTTGAGTTGATAAATGGATTAATAAATATTGACACAAATTTAACAAAATTAATTAATTCAAAGATTTGTTTTATATAAAACATTTTCTCTTTGTCTAATATTTTAATTTTATTAAATAATTTATATTAATTATAAATAGTTTTATTAATAGTATTATGTTTTTAAAATAATTTACTCACATTTAATGTTATCAATGATTTTAATCGCGTATTCATTTCCACTGCTTTTATGTTTAACTTTGAAAACAGTGCCAAAACATCCCAAACCCAAAACAGACAACTCATTGAAAGCACGTTTATAAAGAGATAATTGAATATTATTTTGATCTAAAAAGTTTAAATGGAAAATACACAATATATTACGAATGTTGGTTACAATATCTAAAATCATACCATATTTTAATTCTTTAATTATAGCAAACATTTTGGTTAAAAAATGTTTGCATTTTTCTTTAAATTCAATAAAAGTATTGTAATTATAGTCTTTATAATCGCATAAATGTATTGTTTTATAAACTTTTTGATATTCAGTTAAACAGTAATTAAATATATTTGTATAATTAGTTTCACACAATTTATTTAACGGATTAATTATATATAATTTATCACTTGATATACTAATTGTATAATGAATATCCTTATAGATTGAGGCACATGCATATAAATTGACCATGGTTGGGTTGTTATTATTAAATAATTTGGTCACTATTCTATGTATTGAAAAAACTTTATTATCATTATATTCTTTGCCACAAAAATACACGAATCCATCGTTTGTTAGAAAATACGTGCGATTGGCTGACGAACACAGCGTTTGAATGTTATATAAATTGTCAATCATTTGTGGTTTGAATATATTATCCGATATATTGTGTCCCAAATGGCACTCATTTCGACCCCAACTGAAGACTCGGCCATTAGTTGTGACGGCAAACGAGGAATTCCGAGAACAATAAACACCACGTATTTTATATTCAATCCTTTTATCTATGAATTGTATTTTCATTGGAGTTATTACTATCGAGTGTTTTGTTCCACAACCCAACTGTCCCTCAAAATTATAACCCCATCCGTAGACACAGTCATTACCGGTGACCACAAGTGAGTGAAAATAACCACAACTTATATCACGGATTACCGGAATATTAAGCAATAATATTATGTTTGGCTTTAAATATTCTTTAGCTACTGGTCGGGCCAACTGTGCCCCTTCATTACGGCCCCAACCATGTATACAATTGTTGACATTAATTGACAGAACAAAATCAAAACCACAATAAAATTGTTGTATATTTTGTTTGCATAATTCCGGTATAATATGCGGTGTATTGACCGCCCAATTGTGTCCCAAACCGAGTGATCCGTTATAATTAGATCCCAAACCATATACCATATCATCGTTTGTCACATACAATACATTATATCCATTGTTGTCATCAAAAAAATGAAATAATTTAATATTGATTATGTCTATCGTGATATCAATACAATCAATAACTAAACTATTATTATCAATTGCTGTAATCTTTGTATCTTTGTAATATATAGTGTGTTGTTTAGTCTCATTCAAATGATCACCTAATTTGTTATTTAATTTCTCATTAGTTGTAAATTCTAAATTATTTAATTTGCAATTTAAAAACTTATTAATAAATGTGTTTTCATTGGTTTCATGTATTTTAAGTTTTTCATGGAATTGATTATGGTTTTCAATAATGTTTTGTTTATCGACTGACCAGTAGTTGTAATCGTCGAGTACTCGACCACTAGTCGGCCGATTTGATGGCATTGATAATAACATTTGTCCAATTATTTTAAATAATTTTTTAAAATTTTTGGAAAACTGGGTTTCACTGTATTTTTCATATGGATTTTCACTAAATAAGAATTAAAATATATCATTTACAATTAAATCTATATAATTAATTGTGTAATAAATGCCATACATATTGAATAAATCAAACAAATGAAACGCAATCACTCCCAGGCTATAAATGTCAACCTTAACGGTATATCGGGACTGATTTAACTCAATTGCCATATACTTTGCTGTCCCGACATTACAGGTGTGGCTCATGGATGACATGTTGTGAAAAGTGGCGGAACCGAAATCACACAGTTTTATAAAACGATTGTTGTTATAGTTTTGGTCTATCATTACATTCTGTGGTTTGAGGTCTCGATGGATAACCGGTGGACACGAGTCGTGTAGATATTGAACGCTCTCTAAGAGCTCTTTGAATATTTCACAGCAAATGAAATATTCAAACACATCCATCGGGTCCTCCGATTCTCTCCCGAAGACAATGTGTTTGTTATCAATAATTGTCTGAAGATTTTGTGTATAAAAATCCATTTGAATGAACAGATGATTGTCTTCCAGCCATGAGTTGCGGTAATTGACCACATATTCTGACCGCAGTTTCACTAACTTTTGGACTTCTTTTAGTTTCTCCTGTCGTTTATTATTATCATAAGTGTCTGCAATACATGTGATATTAATTAAAATATTTCTGCTGATATACAGTAGCAATTATTATAATTGCTATATGTAATTATTAATTTACCAAGCAACTTAATCACTTTAACCGCATAAATCTCTTGTTCAATGTTATGCTTTACTTTATATACAGCACCGAAACCTCCGCTCCCGATGTGTAACAACTGTTCAAAATTATCGGCAAAAAAGCTTTTGCTTAACTTTTCGTTTGGAACTGTGAAATTAGAAAACATATTATAAATGCGATTATTAATATGGTAAAAGTAATGTGATTATTACCTGATTGATTAGACGCCATTTTTGATATTTTATTTAATAGTTACAATAGTTTTTAAGTTTTGTTTAACTTATAAACTTTTTTAAACCGTGTTATAAATGTTATAATTTCACACTTTTATTAATTTATAATTTATATAATATAACATTTGAATTTAAATAATATTTTAATTTTATTCTTTCATTACTAATATTAAATATTTGTATCATACGTTGCAAAACAATTTTACACAATTCTATACAATTATATTTAATAAATTATATATTAATAAATATAGTAAATATAATTATAATAAAAACATATATTTTTATTACTTTTAATATAAGTCGTAAAATATATAATTATATCACAATATATTGCATATAATGTTAACCTTTTGAAGTCAAACACAATAATTATTAAAAAGCATTAAAACACTGATTATATGACAATGAATTTTATACAAATATGATAATTGCTATAACATTAATTAGTTGATGTATAATAACTTGTATGAAGTGTTGAGAAATTTATATAAATTACGCATTAGTACAGTATTATAATAAAATAATTAATTCTTAAAATTACACTAATTGTATTCAGTATTCAAAAAATAGATACCAAAATCACCTAAATGTAAAGTCACCTTTATAATTCTTAAAATTAAATAATATAAACTAATTAATTGTAATTTAAAATTAATTTTTAACAACGAGTAATATTTACCAAATATATTACAAAAGCATAACTCTTTTATTACAAATATTTTAATTATTTTACATGTACAGTTTTTAGCAATATATGAAGTCACACAATACAAATGAAAATAGTATTTGATTATTTCAGCATAATTTATTATAACGACAACTCTATTACAATCATTTATAATTACCGCTATATTTAGCCCGAAAGCACGGACTGGTGGCCACCGACGAGACCGGACTCGTACGCCAGGATGTGGTGGAGCAACAGTTGGTCGACATAAAGATCTATTTTTATGAATCCGGGAATTTACAGACAAAAACACATAAATATACTATCTAAATGTTTTGCAAACAACAATTATTGTCAGAGTTGTCCCTGTTTTTGGGTACCCGTCAGTGGTTTACCGGTAATCACATTAATTATGTAGACTTCTTAGCGTATGAGCTCTTGGATTGGTTCCGTGTCTTCAGTCCTGAGACCGTCAATATGTACCAGAATTTGGTTCAAACATGGTAAATTATCGCAACCTGATTAAATTAATAAAGTTAACTAAATTTTTAAAATATTTAGTGTTTAATTGTTCTAATTGAAAATTGCATTTAGTTTACAATATTTATAATTACCACAAATTTTAGTTATATAAAAATCAAAATTAATAACAAACAGTAATTATTTTACTAAAATAGAGCTAGACAATATTAGTGTCGTCAGGGCCTGTGTCGTCCGACATTATAATTACTTAAATCTATTAAATATAACCAATATTTACATAGTTATAATGTACAGTTCACATTGAAAAGTTATTGGATACTATTGGATACATAAATAAATAATATATTGAATCTAAAATAAATTTAGTTATCAACCATGTACAATTGAAGTTATTATTTAAAACTTCTTTTAATATATTATACAATTGTAAAATTATTATGTTTGTAACTCGTGTGGTTGGAAAGTAATTCTCATCTGAAGAGGTCCGAAACATTTTGACACATTTATTTTAATGTTATTCAATGAATTTACAAAAATGTGATAAATAAAAAATTGTAAAATATTCTTATTTAACAAAAATTAAATTTATTTAAACTATTTCTGTTTAATAGTTATTTTCTATATAAGATCTAAATAATTTTGTACAATTTATGACCAAATTATTATACTTTTTATTTCCCCCAATGTAAAAGCCGCAAAGGGTTTCCGATGGTTGACATCTTCGAGACCACACAAGTCATTGACAAAATAATTCCACCAATTTATAGATAAATCAATGTAATTTAAATAATAACTTGAATTGTACATGGTTGATAACTAAATCAATTTTCATTTTCATTTACTATTTGATTATGTATCCAATTGTTATTCTAATAAACGAACTCATTGCAGTTAACTACAGAGATGACTTTGTTGTCACATAATACCACAATTTCTTGGTTCTTTAATTTTATTCTGGACGCAATAGTATTCGTAAAATTTGTCAAAATCCATCGTCAACTTCTCCCTATAGAACTCGGTCAACTCGCTCCCGCCCATCGTCAATTTATTATCAAACCAATCAAGTAATGTCTGTCGGAGTTTCGTATGGTGTGACTTTAACCTATCATGTTCAATGAACTGCTCGCTTCGGCAAATCGCCTCCATTCCGGCAATGTATTTGTCTCTGGCTATGGTCACGGCGATTAAATTGTTGGCCTCGGCTGTGGCTGCGAACACGGTATTTTGATCCGGCATTGACTCAGCTGTCATTTATTTATAGATAAATATTAATTATTGTTATTTTTACTATTTTACTATTTTATTTAACTACAAGTTAAATTTAATAACACCCATAATCATAACAATGTGCATTGAATAAACATTGTAAATGTTAAACCAACGCACAGACTTAAGCTGTAATCTTATAGAAATTCATGTGCAATATATAACATATGATTTTAGTTTAGTTGTTTTGTATAGTATAGCGATTTATAAACAGATTAATAGTTGATTAATGACATTAGACATTTTATTACTAAAGTATAACCTCAGTGAGGTTAGGTTGGCATAGGTTAATTCACTATCCAGAGGCTCTAGAGCCAATTAGTGGCCATAAAGCTTTACATTATTTATTCTAATAAGTGATTTTTATATAATAAGCATAAATTAAGTTTGTTTATATTGTAATTATACCCTTAGGGTCATAAGTGAAGCACGATGTTAATGTTAAAGCATTTCCCAGAAGAGAGAGAGAGAGAGAAAGAGAAAGATAGAAAGAAAGAGAGAGAGAGAGAGAGAG